CCCCCCCCCCCCCCTTTTTTTTTTTTTTTTTGCTTTTAATGGCTGCATAAATTGTTCTCACAACCCTCAAGCTGCTGCAAAATGTTGTGTTTCTCAGAAGGCAGTTTAGTGTCAGATTTCTACAGTGCCCAGACTCTGACTAATCCCAGAAATGCCAAAAATTTCGGGAGTAGCTGTGCAAACGCCCCATCGCCCCTACCTCACATCATCCAAACTCTACCCACACCCCAACCTGTAACTAGGCCAGACAGTTCTGCTTGCTGAAATGACAGCTTGTTGTTGGTGCCACAAAGCCATTTTATTGTCTGTCCACGTCTCCTCCTCCTTTTACCGTGCATGTGGATACCCGCAGAGAATACATCAGAAGTGCAAAACCCCTTGGCAATGCTGCAGCAGGTGCATTCAGCCAGTTGCTGTAAGTTTGGGGAGTAAGAAAAAAATCATCTCCTCCAAGAACTCATTGCAGGTTGAGTTCCAGATGAGGGTTGGTTTCTCCATGGAAAACAAAAATTACACGTTTCACTCTGGTTCCAGGAATTCCATCAGTATTTGTACATTCCAGTGAGCGAAAAAGTTAAATAAGAAGCATATGACAGATGCTTTCTTTATTGCTACAAAGTAATTGGTTTTTTCTTTATTTTTTTAACTCTGAGGATGGGTTTAGCTCAGTCGCAGGCATATTGCCAGTGTTTCCTAGACAATTGTTCCTATGAAAAATGCAAATGACAGTAATTTATAGTTTTCTTGGTATTTATATATTTATAATACATTTATATTCTGCACTCTAAGAATTAGAAGACAAATTGTTAGGCCAAGTAGCACAATACAGAACCCACTAACTTCCAATTAAAATACTTCAGAAGTGATCCTCTCCAGCTGCAATGTAGAAAAACACATGTTTTACCCATGCTTAGACAATCCCACCCAACACCAGGAGAAAGAGAAGCTGTTGGCAAATGTTCAGGCCCCTGGTAGAGGGGCCCCAGGCTGAAGAGGAAAGGAGAGAAGGTATTTGGCTGGTGTAGAAGCTCTTTTTGCTGCCTCAGCTGCTACAGTGCTGCAGCATGGCCTGCAGCCTTCCCAGTGTTCAGAATCCACATCACATGCTTCCTGCAGGGCTCGCTCCCCTTTCTGGGATAAGATCTGTAAGTAAGACTGGTGGGCTGGTGAGGCAGGAGACCGGGACTCTTGTTGCCCTGTGGCAGGGCAAATTGGTGCATCCCCTTATTTCCCTTCAGGGTTAGGATTAATATTCATGACTTCAGGAGGGGTGTGAAGCCTCAGCTTTGCTCATGGCCCCTGTACAGGTGTGAATTGCAGAGCAGATGCTCTGCTGACCTCAAGTCATGCTCCAAACGTTCTCCCCTGACTGCTGGATGCCTTTCCCTGTTCACCTCTTTCTACTGCATCAGCTCATGCCAGGACTCATCCATCTGATCCCTGTCTATCTCCAGCTATTCCTCCTTGACTCTCAGCTCACAGCCCCACAGCTTCAACTCTGCCTGCTCCTAGGATGGGCATGGGGGAAACCAATGCATTACTTGCCCTGTCCTGGACACTGTCTCATTTATGTCCCAAGTCATGAAGGAGATCTGGTCCTGCTGAACTTCCCGTGTGGGCCAGTTTGGGGCAGAGCAACACCACCAGGTACTTGAGCAGTGCCTCATGCATTCAGCTTTGGATGGGTGGCCAGGGCTGGCAGAGCTATAGTGGTACAGATGCACACAGACTCCTTCACAAAAAGGCTGGAGCCCCTCACCATGTTGCACACCCTAAAGTAAGCTCAAGGCATGACAGTTTGTCAGCAGTGGAAAATCTCAGAGTGAATGGTTATTTTGCACTCTGGTAGTTCTTAAAAAGGCAGTTCTGCTGCAAAGTCTGTTCCACATATCCCCTCTGGGCAGCCCCAGGCAGGAGCAGAACTGACTCTTGACACATTCCCAAGGCACAGGGAGATTTTGCTTAGCCCACTTTGGTGGTTTCCCCTCACTAGAGTCATAACAGAGGCACCTTTGCCTGCTCTAGCTGCCCAGACTCTTCACAGGCACAGGAGAGAGACAGGTGACATCTAAGACAGGCTTGTGGAAGCTGTTCCTGGAACAGCCTGGTTCTCACTGTGACACCTCTGTCTTAAATATCTAAAGGAAGTGCTGAATGTCTCCCCTGTGTGCAGGATACATCCCTGCTGAGCCTGCCAGGCTGTGCTGGAGGCCATAGGAAGGGGCCTTACTGCAGTGGAGTCTCATGTTGGAGCCCATGTGCTGAGATTGTTCCATGTTATCCCACAGCCACTCCTTCAGCTGCTACTCTTGGGTGTGAAATTCAGCCCATGTAGCAACCAGCTTCCCTCACTCCTTCAAGAACTTCTGCACCATCGACCTCCTGCAACAAAGCACTCCGGAGAGCATTGCAAGGGAAGCAAAGGGGATGCCTAAATCTCATCTACTGCAGTCTTTTTCTCCTTTAACCCATTACTGTCACTAAACCCCAAAACATCAGGAGGCTGACTCCAGCCCTTGGTGCCTGACCAGCACCCCTTGTGGAGAGCTCTGCTTCCTTGAGGAGAAGCACACATATGCATGTACACAGCAGCCTTTGTCTGTCAGATTGCAACTCCACATGTAAGGAGATGGGATGAAGGAGGCAGAGGGCAGATGAAAGAGGTTGCAGCCCAGCACTCAGCTCTTTCCTACACCACACCACTGTTCAGACTCCCAGCACACACAAAAACATGTCTGCTTCAGCTCCCCTTTGCCATATCCAGCTCTTCTCACTTTGATGGAAAGCTGCTGAGTCACGAATGGTTGCTGCTCCTCCAATAAGTGCTGCCGTGATTCTAATTTGACTTGCTTTGCCATTGCCCTTCAGTGTTTCTGCATTCGGACACAGAGGAGGAGCCAGGGATCTCCAGTGGGCAGGACACAAGTCACATACCCAAAAAGGAGAGAGATGACCCAGGCAGACAACATAGCACAGGCTCACTTGCTCCAACAGCTGAGTCTGCTTGCTCAGCCTCAGTTTTGCAATCACCTCCATTACTCCTCCATGTTCCTCTGCTCTGGGAAGGGGCAGTGGCAAGATGGTGTCAGCATGAGTTGAGATAATCCCCTGTCCAAACCACATGCATGGAAAACTGCATGTGTTTGTGATCTCTGCTCATTTCCAAGGCACTTTTGTCAAGGGGAGACAACTATGCCAGCCTCAGCTGGACTGACTTTTTCCGATGAACTCCTTGGCAGAGCTGAGTCTGCACTGTGTTTGTAGTTGTTTAATGTCTCAGAGTCAACACCTGTAGATCCTACTGGAATGAATCCCACTTCAATGAAATGTACCTTTAAACAGCAAAGCATCCTGCTCCTGGGATGTGAGATGCAACTCTGTTGGCTCTGCAACAGGAGCTGAGCTGCCAGCTGCTCCTTCTCCTACCACAGCTCTACCTCCTGCTGCCTGTCAGATCCCTCCACCACCTTCATCTAGCTCCTACCTAAGAGGTCCCAGCAGGTAACAGGTGTTGCTTTCGTGGCCATACCCATCACTCTAGGGATGTTCTGGCAGTGGTACTGGCTCCTCCTCCTCCTCTATGGCAGTGTCGGTGAGAGTCAGATCCTGGCTTACCTGTGGGGCTGTTCTCTGCAACACTGGTGTGGCTCTGCAACTACCTACCCCAAGGATGGACAGGGGAAGCACCCCAGCAGTCCCACCCCAGAGAAAATAAGCAGAGATAAAGGTAAAGACCTTACAGTGGAGGGGAACACAGGCCACAGCATGCTACCTGTGGCTGTGCATGAAGAGATCCAGGTCTTCCTAGTATCACTGCTGGAGAAACTCCAGAAACTGTCTTTGCCTGTGTCCACTCCAGCTGCACTGTCTGGACCTGTGTAGCACCCAAAAGAAGGTCCTTATTCTGCCCCAGAATCATCAAAACTCTCACAGCAGCGGGAACCTACAGACATCTCTGAACAGCAACACTTCTCCTCTCTGCCCTGTCACCCTGGTGCTGTTTAAGACAGACATAGCTCCTTCTCTTCCCCCTGGTTCACCTGTGATGCCCCACTCAGCAGGTGATGGGGGGGGTGGGGGTGGGGTGGGNTGTGCTCCCTTGGCTCTTCAGCTGTGCTGCATTAACCTGGATATGGAACAGCCTTGCCCAAAAGCCTGATGCAGCCTGGAGATGTGCTCCAGATGAGGCAGCCTTTAGGGACACAGTGGTGCTCTCAGGGAGGTGAAGCACTGAAGAGACTACCTTTTCCTTGCCCTGTATGAGCAATCCATCCACAGCCCCTCTTTCACCTGCCCAACTCCACCTCTGGTTTGGGTTCTTTTCCCCTACTACAGAAACAAGTTTGCTGAGCGTTATTCTTGGGGGACAGACTCTAGGAAACCATGAGTGTCCTACCACTGGAGCAGGGCAAGGAGACTCAGCTGGATGAGAAATGGAGGCTTTCAAGACCAGGCAAGAGCTGCATCTGCTGTCAAAGGCTCTAATTCCACTTCAGTTATCTAAAAACCATCTCAGAACATCTGCCAGTAAGCACCTGCCAGTAAGTAATGCCATGATACTTCAAGTGAAAACAAAGAAGAAATAGATTTATTTTTTTTTTTAACTTGTGAGTTAGCGTAATGTTAAAAGCAGTAAAACCTTATGCTGACTTTCATTTCAGGAAAAAAGTAAGTGGAAAATGTAATTGGTAAGTCTAGAAATGGTGACAAGAGAAAAATAAAAAACTTGATGAAACAGGGTACATAACTAATTTCTAGCTAGAGTGCATGAAAAATGAAGAAACATGGCCATATTCATTCATTGTTTGTAGAAAAATGCACATCCACATATTGCAAGTCCAGCAGTGGATGCAGAAGAGGTTTTGTGAAAGGCTGTTGTGGACATAATTGAGTTCCACTAGGGGCTGTTATTGTCACACACCTAGGTGAACGGTTTTCTCTTGTAAGAGCAAACCGTAGGCAGAAAAATCCCACAGGGACTGAAATAGAAGGGTTTCAGATCTCCAGGTATCTCCTTTCAATGGGTCTTTGTATTAGCCCAGTCAGACAGGAAAAATCTTGTAAGGGTAATTTGCTTTAGTGGTAGCCCCTGAAATAAAAGTTGCTTTCATAGAATTTTGATGTATTTTTTTTGCTGTTTTATTTCCTTGCTTTTGAAAGAAAATAAAAAATCTGTGACTACTAAATGATTATGCTGACACAGAAATTTTGTCAATTTATTTTTGTTTAACAGGTCCCAAATACTGCAAATTATCATGCCATGTTCCTAGAAAAAAACGTGTATGTATGATATATGGTCTTTGGAATATAACACTGAAGATTTGTGCATTGTTTTTGTAAATCCTGTTTGTTAAGGAGAAACTATGAGGTAATATTTTTACTTTTTTTTTTTTTTGGTTTGAAGGATGCTTCTGTCACATGTATCTCACTAAGCCCTGAAAGAAGTTCAAGTAAGTGAGTAATACCATTGTAATATTAAGAATGCTTTTTGAAACACATTTGCAAACCTTATACTAACCAGAGTAGGCATCAGAGTGAGTGACACTAGGAGGTGACTTCAGTCCTGGACCATATGCATGGTGGAGGAAGCCCATGTAAAAGTGATGAAGATGTGCTAGCCACAGACAACCCTGGAGACACATAAAAACTTAAACAACACGAGCAGATGTTTTTTTATTCTGTGATACCTTTAAGATTAGAGCTTTGTTATTCTTCATTTTATAAATTGGTCTAAGACATTCTGTGGTGGGATAATGTAGTATAATACTTTGCCACAGGTATGCTAGCTGTAGGAATGTGGTGAAAGCATAAAGCACTACCTTGGAGAGTATCTACCTTTTGGCTGAGTTTTCGCATTTGAGCATTTCACTGAAAAGTATCAGGAAAAATAATGGTATTTGTTTCAGTGTTTCTCAGTGAAGTCACTTACCTGTCTGAGACAACTGCAGCAATATTTGATGAATCAAAATCTTCCTGGGACAGTTAGTTATGGTGACTTGAATCTAAATCTGAACAGCAATAGCAAGTCCTTTCTGTTCTGCACAGGTAGGAAAGCTTATAAAATTCTGGACCTTTCAGTGGTGGCGTGTGTTTTTAATCACCAGGGAGGCAGATACATTGTTTAATTCAAGGAGTTTAGTGTCAGGCTACCTGCACAGTCAATATAGGTGGTCTGTATTTCAATGCCTGGAGAAATGCTGTGTATTTCATTGCTCACACTGGGGAGGGATATTACTCTTCCCCTTAGCTACCAAGCCTATCTCTGAACTCAGATATATCCAAAGCATAAAGTTAAATGGATTACTCCCAGCAGTCCTGGGTTGCATTTCTGGCCCAGAGCACCATTCTTCAGTGAGCATCTGCCATTAAAAAGAGCTAGACATCCATGTCTTCCTTACTGTGTTTGGTTGCTCTTGCCATGCTGCCATTCTTGTCTATGCTGTCTTCAAAGCAGCTCCTGAAACTTTTGCCAGGTAATGGCAAAATATATACTGCCTAATACAAATATGTAATGAAAATATAAAATGCTTCAGGGCAGCACCTTACATAGAGACACAAATCTGAAATACTGTCCTTCATTAAATGCTGCAGCTCTCAGTCCTGATCAGTAGACAAATGCCCTCAATGCTTAATAACAAAAGCCTTCGCTACATCTAGATCATTGCTGGGAAACTCTGTATGTTTAACATTTCCTCTACAAGCTCAACAGTAGCTTGCTCCACTATGATGTGTGAGTGGAGGATTGATGTCGCAGGACTTTGTGATACCTTCACCACAGAGGTACAGAATGGTTTGGGTTGGAATAGACCTTAGAAGATCCACTAGTCCAGTCTCCCTGCGATGGGCATATCTGTCTTCCACTAGCTGCATTGCTCAAAGCCCTATGCAACCTGGCCTTAAAAACTTCCAGTGATGAGACATCCCCACCTGAAAAACAGCTCGTCTTTCACTCAAGCTGCCAGTAGAAGAAAGGTGAAGGGTTGAAAAGAGAAAGGAGGCAACATGCTGACAGCAGAGTGGCTGGAGAGGTAGCAGAGACACCCCTCTAATGTGTGTTTTATGAAGGTCTCACTACAGCATACAGCCAAGGCCACAGGAGGGATTGTATTATGAGTTTTTACATTTGTGAATTATAGTAAGATTACAGTGCTGTGAAATACAGAGGTCCAAACTCAGGCAAGGCACATCTGTGATGTCCTTAGTGATATACCAAGTCTAACAGGAATTGTCTGCAACTAGATATTGTGTATAGGTAGAGGAAACCAAACAGAAAACTGCAGAAGGAACAAAGATGAACACAAAATCTGCATGTGTTATTGGGTGGTAGTTAGTACAATCTGTGTTCTCTTTACTGCAGACAGTTTTCTAAGTCTCAGTGTGGTTATTACACAAACTGGGCCTCTCAGGCATTGTTTCATGCATATTTTCTGCACTTATTAAGTATTTGTAGTGGTTATTATTTCCCGTGAGCTCATTTGATGATGGATCTAAGGCATTTACATTTGTTTTTCTCCTGTGTATCTAGAAAAGTGAAAATTTAGGAGTTAATGAAATTCTTAATAAGAAAGACAATAATCAGGCTATTCATAATACTGACATGGGGTTGCTGATAAGCTGCAGGTTTTTTTTCTCTTGACTTCAGTAAGTATTTGTAAATAGCTTGAATAGTTCTCTCTAGGACAGGTCTGTGGCTGAACAAAACTGCTCTAACATCTTGGGCAGTCATCTTGACCAAAGTGTCTTTGTGCATGGAGAAGCTAAGTGTGGCAGCACCACTCACCAGTATTTATTGCTGACGTGGCTGGGGTTTTTAATGAATAGCAAATTAACAATTTTTTAATAATATAGTTTAAATTATAATTTATTAAGTCAAATAATTTGTGATGTATTTGTAGACTGAGGTAGCTGATAGAATGCTAAAGCAAACCTGTGAGGCTCAGCTTACCAAGTGTTGTATTCTAATATGAAAGTTTAGTAAAATCTATTTGCTTGAGTGACATGCTTTTTTACTTATGAGGCTTACATATGAGTTAAAATATGGAGATCTTTTCTACTGAACATTTTTGCACATGAAATGAAGAATAACAGTAGTAAATACACAGTAATGTGATTTGTGTCTCCAAATGTCTTGACATAGGCTAATGTTTAGCAATTTTTTACAATACCACTTCAGTTGTACCTGGCAAACTACATTAATCAGGATATAAAACTGTAACAGAAACAAAGAGATGCTGACAGTGGTAGAAAGCATTATACCCCATGAGTTTTCATAAGTCTTGTGAACAGGGAGAATACATTGTTGTAGCCTGTTCTTAATGGCTGGAATGACATTGATATACACTAAATCATAGAGAAAAGAGTAATTTTTTTAATGCAGGAATTATATGAAGATATTTCTGGTATTACTCTTAGGTGGAGAGTCTAAGGAAGTGAGAATCTGCAATGAAAAATTCTTTGTATATGAGGTAAGTGTTCCAGTCTGTACTACAGTGGGCAGTGAGCAGGGACTGACATCATGATCTCATGAGGACTAAGAGCTGGTTGTGAATTCTTTTTATATAAGCTTAACTGTTCACTGAACACTTCCAGAATGCTAAGGTGTTGACAGCTTCTTGGACATTATAATCCAAAACAAATGCTTTTTTTTTTTTTGCAAGGCTGTGACATAATACATCAGATAACACACTAATGGGTATCTGGAATGCACTCAGGAACTGTAACATGTAGTATAGGGAAGGGCCTCTGAAAAATAGGCTTTAAAAGATATATTTTTAAGACCTAGAATGCATACAGCTCTGCAATTTAATATTCCAAGGCTTTGCTACATCAGTGGTAGCTCCAAGGAGAGGTCAGTTTTTCTAACTAGACAAAATCTTTGACATAATGATCAAGCTCAAAATTTATCTGAGTTTAGGAGATGGCAAGATGTCTGACTTAGGACTGTGCTGACACTATTCCTGCTTCAATTTTTTAAACTCTCTCAAACAGCTCATGATGGTGAAAGGCAGCATTATGGTCAGAAAGCATCATGTAGACCAATAATGACAGATTTCTTTCTTCTTTACTTTTCACTGTTCATTAGAGGTGTTGCCACACCAACAGGGATTATCTATTTACTCCCTCAGCAGAAGAAATGAATATTGGTAGCTGTTGGAGGAGACATGAGACCAGGCTGCATGTAAAGGAGATTAATGTAGGAAGCTACATTTAATATTTCAAACTGAAGTGTTGTATTGCTGACATTGTAAGCATTGTTGAGTAAAATATTTTCCAAACTCTGGCCTTTAGTAAATATTTGTAAGCACCAGTGCATTCTCTTTATCATGGTATGTAAAACCTAATGGCAAGAGTTTGATTTTTTTTAAAGAAATTATCACACAGAAAATAGAGTCTATAGATACTTCATAGCAGGGACAGATTGTTTAAAGGAAAAGGTCCAGTTCTTCTAAAATGTATGTTACTGATGGTAACCACGAGCTTTTATTAACACACAGTGTCTAATATATTCTGGGGACTGGCAGTTTTGAGGATGTTAGTTGCTCAAGAAACAGAGATAAAACTAGAAGTGTGCGGTGTGCTTTGCCTTATCTCTTAAGTGCCATCTTCTCACTTCTGATGCCAATTCTTATTCTTCTCCAAGCCTGACTTTGAGTAATGTATTACAACATTAAATACTTGGATCATGGATCAAAGTGTCATAATTATTGCAAAATGTTTTTAAGTCAAGTTTCAGCTGATGAATGTATTTGAACAAATTATTTGGTATAGTGAGACCTTCCAAGGGTAATTGATGTTCTGTGACGGAGTTCTTTTTGTCTTTGCTGCAGTACATAAGGTCAGATTTTTTTATACTACAGAAATTAATTAAAGTGATATTGCCTGGTTTCCTGCTGAAACATTACATTTAATGTTAACAGCTAGATTAATGGAAAACAGGAAAATGTAGCTGGTGTAAATTCTTAGGATCATCAATGTAGCTGGAACAGCTTATATGCATAAACTGTCCCAATGGGCTGTAATTACTCTGTACTTAGGAAAAAGGTGGAAGAGACACAGCTTTGGAAGGTGTAACAAAATGTTCACATATGGCAATACCTGTTTGTCATGTGTCCCTAATACTGCTGGACTGTGCTTGCAGTGACAAGCAGCATTTGCTTCTGTTTCACAAGAATATTCAACCCCTGCTATGTATGTCATTTGAGCTTTTGTGCTGGGACTGCCCTCATTCTGAGATGAATTTGTACACAGATATGTTTTAAGTTCCTTCACGTGTCCTCCTATTTACCCTCCTTCAATTCTGTGTTACTAGCAGTGTCTAAGCCCATTTCTTCTACTCACTCAGAGACATCTGTACTGTTACTTGAGTAGTGGGGTAATTTTTGTATTGACAGAAGGTCAGCAGGAGAGACCAACCGTAGTCAGTAGGCTGCATCTTTAATTCCTGCTAATACTCCTAACTGCTGTCCTACGCTTACTTGGTCTACAATAACTCATACTACTGTGCATTTTTTTCTTCAGGAAAGTCTAAACATCCAAGTTCATAAAGGAAGAAGCTTAAAAATCAAACACCCTTTCCTTAAACTCAGGATCAGAAAAGTTTCAAGGCTTGGACCCTCACAGCATGCCAAGTAATCCCATTCTGACATCCACTTCCTGATGTCTATCCATTTAATTCATCATGTATAGTTTCCTTGCTATGTCACACAGCAATGTTAAATTATAAAATTAGTAAGTTATTTGAATGAGAAAGCTTCTTGCCCTGCATGATTTGTAATGCATAGGTGTAAGAATGATACAGTCACACAAGAAGTGTTTTGCATAACATAGGTGATGTTACACTTCCAGAGCCTTATTGCATGTTCCATCAGTACTGCAGGGAGGACAGGAGCATAGTTCCAAGACTCTTTGACATATTGTCTTCTGCAATGTTGATATGTCATGTCATACTTTTGGTGCCTCACTCACTGTCAGAAGTTTCGAGACTGTCAGAATTCCCATGTAACTAATAGGACATTGGTTATAGCTTTTGCATGACACTGGAAAATTAGGGAATGTTTTCATAATGTATGTGGCCTAAGAGGAAGTCCAGCTGAAGTTTCAGCCCAGCCAGCTCTCCCTATCTGACCAGGGTGACAAGAGCAGAGAATTACTGTTGGAAAGAACTCTTGAATAGCAAAAGTATAAAATTTTTAAATAAAATTCTGTACAGAGATGCAATTTGTATTTTCATAAACTAAAGAGAGAGAAGCAAGTCCATATAGAGATATTTCTGATGTACCTATTGCCCTTATGAGTTTATCTAACCTGAAGTAAACAAGAAAGGACAGGTCTTTGGTTCTTCAAATGACAGAAAAGATGTAAAAAATTCAGGCTGTGTTCAATAAGCTACATTGCATGCCTGGGTCCTGTTTTGTATTGTAGTATTCCAAAATGATGGTGTCCTTTTCAGAAATGAGACTCTCAGCTGTAAAAGTTGAGGCATGCCTTGATTATTCATTAATGCCAGACTCCGCCACAAAAATTTCCATGTGCCATGAAAAAAAAAGTATGTGCTCTGAACTGAAATTAATGGGCAACACCACCATTTCAAACAGTTTTGTTTGGTGATTTTTGTTTTGTTTGTTTGTTTTTTTTCCCATTTGAACTTTATTTGCACTATAATAATCATTTGTCTAACATTTACTTGAATGAGAACTTTTTGATCTTTTTTTATTCTTAAAGCTGTCCTGTAAGACAGCAGGTAGTGAAGTGAGCCAAAAGGTTCCTTCTGTTCTTTTCGGGTGGGTTGTTACACTCTTGAAATAGAAATACGTGTATAATATAAAATGTCTTCTGGGACATTTAACACTTTACTAAAAGCTATGAGAGCAAGATTGCACAACAAAGTAATCCCATTTATAATTTCTTTTGACAGGCATCCAGAGGCAAAGAAGCAATTCACAGCTCACAGATTACACAGAACAGAGGAACACAGGGGGAACATAGAGTCTTTGTTTCTGCTGGGAAAAAAAATCAAACCAGCAAAGACTTTCCTCAGTTTTGATGGTCATTTTCTGAGGGTAGTTGTGTCCCTGCCTGCAGCTGATGTTGGAGACACTGAAAATAAGAAAGCAAAGATAAAATTCACCCTTAAAATTAAGTAAAAATCAGCTACTCCATTCCCTGATCTTCATGTCCTCCATCACTGTGCTTTGTGTAGTCATACATTGATCAAGTATTTTCTTTTTTTTTTTTTTCCTTTTTTTTTTTTTTTTGGTGTGTTTTTGGGTTTGTTTTGTGTTTTGTTTTGCTAAGATGAACACAGTTGCTGTGACTGATACTTGTTCTGGTAGTTGGAAGATAGGAGTGTAAACCACGGCACTATTATGCTGCACTGGCAACGTAGATTTCATGAGTGAGTGAGCTTAGGCTTCAAATATCCTTATAAGCAAATGAGGTTTTGATTTAGTCAGGGTCAGTATTACATACTGAAGTATTTACTCAGGATCTTTTTGGAAGAGAGAAACATATTTAATATTACAAAATTCTTTGTGTAGATTACTCAGCTGACAGTGATTCATCACTCACATTTCACTTAGTTTTCACATCCTTAGGTTCTGGGTCTTGAGATGCCATTTTTACATGACTGGAAGATTTACCACAATACCGGACAAAAATAAGCATGTTTGTTTTTTGCCTTGGCCTGCCAAAATCCACTCCCTCCTGCTCAGTACTTAGCTATGTGAAACTTGGTGATAAGCTACACCTCTGATTTTGTGATTAGGTCTGCATAATTCTATTTTTGTCACTTAAGTGAACAGATAAAGACAAAAACACATCCCAAAGGGACTGCAGTTTAGGTTGGATGTGATTGAAAAAGATAACAAGAAAATGGAAATGGGAGGAATGATTACTAGTGAAAGGTAATAGCACCTTGCTTGTTTGTATGTATATATTAAGCCCATTGGTATCATTAATAGAACACTTTTTGCAGATGCACATTGTGTCTCACAAATTCATGATGAACGGTATTGCAATCTGTGGGCAGTTTGACAAGAAACTGCTCAGGAGTTAGCAGGACTGGCTAATCTTGGAAATGCACCCAGCAACGAGATGTTTTGATTTTGAGGAGGCATTGTCTAAATCAGGAAAACTGAAAAACTTTGTTTTTAAGTGAAAACACTTAGAAAGTGTGGCAGACAAAACAGAGAAACAAAAGTAATCAGTAATTCTGAAATCCCTGTCTATGGAATCCCCATCTACAATATTAAAGCATGTTATGCTACGTATTTGAAACACCTGTTACCAAATGAAATGTCCACGAAGTCAGAATGCTACAGAAGATATCACAGGAATCGGTATAAAGGACTCTAAGGCTGAGAGGGCTTTTTCTGACACTGTAGCAGAATTTTATCTGTAGCAACAAATAACCCTCAGTTGAGCAGCTCTTGAATGTAGCAGAATGATAAAGCCTGCTTCGTGCCTG